GGGTGGGGCGGGATAAACCAAAAAAAAAAAAAAAAGATTGATTGATTGATTGATGGGGGAGGGTCGCCCCCCCCCACCCCGACCACACACACACCACACACATGCGCACATACACACACACATGCTTGTGCGCACACATTCACTCACACCCCGCACACACACACATTCGCGCACACACACACGCTCGCACACACACACGCTCTCGCACACACACGCTCTCGCACACACATGCTCGCACCCACACACACACGCTTGCACACACACACACCGCTCCCACCCCCCCCACGCCAGTAGCGCTCGTTCCCCCCCACCTAACCCGTTGTACTGGCTCATACGGGCCAGTACGAATGGCCGCACGACCCGATGAACGGCCGTTCGTACGGCTGTATGATCGCTCTCCCGTACGTCGTACGGCAGGAGTCACAGGGGCAAGTATTCCTGGGCCACTCCGGTAGCCTAGCTAACGTGCCGACCTGACTTTTTTAGCAGGATTACAGTTCCTGATCTGGTTTCTCATAGATAGTAACAGAGAGTAACAGATAGTGACAGATAGTAACAGATAGTATAGTAATAGATAGTAAGTATCTATGTTACCGAACGTACACGTAAGGGGCCTTTCCGTACAAAACGTACAGGTAATATCTGTACGGGAACCTGTACGTCTTGTACGCCCCCGTACGGAAAAAAAAAGTCATCAAAAAAATCCAAAAAAAAAAGTGCTGCAAGCCTGCAACAGCACAAAACAAGCAACATTTGGCTGAGCATCATCTGCAGATTTTCTTATTATAATTTGAGGGAAAAAAATAAAGACAATTAAAAAACAAAAAGTCATACAGCCCAAAGCGTACGAGTAGCATACGAGTAACGAGTACGACCTCGTACTCGTACGAGGGTGCGTACAAGTCGCAACGTAGGCAAGTATTATTACTGTATTACTGACAGATACATGCGCAGTGTGCACTAGCTCGCCACAGAAATAAGCCAATGGAGTAGTGAACCCAGTCGCATTAAGAAGCCAATCAGTGTCGTGATGCAAATCGAAGCCCAGCGGACAAAATAGTCCCAGCATATGTCCACTGTCCAAGAGCACCGTAACTTCAGAGAAGAGAATGTGGTAGTGGGGAGAAGAGACATAGAGGAGGAGAAGAGGGAGAGTCCCCGTCAATCATGCATGAAGTCTCTGCTTGCCCACTTCCTCCTCGGGCATTATTCCCCCTGGCACCACCTCAGCAATGCAGACTCTCTCTGACACTCTCTGACAGATACAGTGTGCAGGTCACAGCCGGGGCGCCCATCCTCCATCCACATCAGCAACCAATCAGGGAGGATGGCGGAGGTCTTCCTCACCTTCGTGGAGACAAACAGCAGATCACACACGACCTCGCGAGGTAAGTCCGGCGAAGCTTCCCCTCAAATCCCTCTCCAGTCTCACAGCCTCGATCCTCCTCCTCCTCGCCCAACCTAAACACCAATGTCTATCGCTATGGCGGCAATCGCCGCTCCGACATAGTCTCCCCTGATGCTGGCGCACACCCAGCAGTGCTGGCGCCAACCTAAAATCCAGCAGCCTCGCGATAGCATACTACCGGTAGCATCAAGCCAGCGCAAGGCAGAATGATCTCCACAGTGGCTACGTCAACTCTATATACTGTCGACTCACGTTGAGCAGCCTCCAGTCTCCTTGGGTCGGTGGCCCAGATGATCTGAAAACCAACGGCCTGGATGCAGCGTAGTCCCAGCTTTCCCTCGTGTCACACTTGGACTGGAATCTTCTGGATACCTGCAAACAACTGCTGATGTGCATCTGATCTACGGCTGTGGATGACCAGCGGGGTGACTTTGACTTTGACTTTGGGCCTGGAATCGCGTCCTTGGGTTGACTCGTCATTTTTCCAAGAGTCAACGGTCTGAGACTCACGTTGGGGTACTGGCCACAGCTTTTGACTCAGATCTTGGTACCCCTTGACCCTAGGCACTTTTTCAGACATTTCTCAGGGTAGGGACGTGACTTTTGACCCCTATTTCTGGCCTTTGACATAAAAAGTGACGACCCTTGTGACGATCTGAACTGGGCTTATTATAACATCAGGAATTACATATTAAAATAGTAAAAAAAATACCCTTCGTGGATTGTTTTCACTTGAACGCCCAATATGGTCAGAATGGAAGTTTGGCGCGGGATCGCACCTACCAATTCTATAGTGCCGCATCATTTGCACTTTGTTTGCCCGGTCTGCAGCCTGCCGTACTCTTCTCATTTCCTTCCTCTTCTGCGCGCTCACAATAGCTCGCAGCTGAGCCGGTTTCATATGCCTCCCCCTTTCTATTCTCCTCTTCACTGGTTCAGCTTCATCTTTGATTGTCAACGTGCCGAGGCCGTCATCACTGTCGCTGCGCACACCTCTTCGCAGCCTTTGGGAAGCAATCAAGCTGCTTCCCGACAGATCTGCCAGTGTAGGAGTCAACCCGTACGTCATCGAAGATGTTCCCAGACTGAACTGAGAGGGATCGATGCTAAGCGAGGGTGTCTGTGTGGCTCGCACCATCATGCCTGCGCCTCCGTGTACGACTCCATGGGCCGAGTCTTGATCCGGTACTGTTTCTTGCCCAGTTAACGATGACGATGCTGGCAATGCACTTTGCGATTGACTGGCTGTTAGAAACATGGGAGTCATACCCAAGCTTGATGCCATGAACGACGTGTTGATCGGATACGCCCGGAATTCGCAGTCGGACAATGGTTGGTCAAATATTGGACGCTGGTAGTCAACAGAATCTTCGCAAAGCTGCAGAACAACAAGCATAGTCAGCTCCAATCAATGAGGGTGGGGTTTTATTTTTTTTAAACCACTACCGTCTTCACCCGAACAGAACGCCCGGTAATTATCGCCGTATCTGGGCTGAAAGTTGTGCCAAATACAGGTATAATGACCGGGCGTTCTATTCGGGTGAAGACGGTAGTAGTCTAGTACCTTTGTCGGTTCGGAAAATAGTGGCCCTCCCAGACCTTTCAGGAGGGTGAAACGAAACGACGGCCCGCCGTTCAGATTTATCAACGGCAGCCGTTCTCGGGCCCAGCCTGGACAAGGCTAAAACTTGCAGATTCCATTTCATTCCTTCACATTCCATGACATTCCTGTTTTTATTTTATTATTATTATTTTCATTTTATTTTAAGGGGCGGCCTTCAGATATTATCGTCATGCTCCATCTATGTGTAGGGGTGCCATACCCCCCCCGCATGCAATCATTGTTGTACTTTGGTACACCTTTGCACACTGTACTTGTGATATCCTCCATCTATGTGTGCTTTTGCTTGTGCTTTGCACTCAATGGTGTTTGCGATATCCATCTTTCTCAGTTCATCAACAGTCAATCTCAGTCATCATTATTGTCGAACTGGCCAGCCCCAGGTAATTCAGAATTATTTGATTCAAATCTAGGCTACCAGAGTGGCCTGGGAGCACTTGCCCGGCCGGGCCAAAAAAAATAAAAAAAATAAAAAAATCAATTATTGTTTTTTATTTTTTTATTTTAAAATTGGTAACGAATTTCGATGTGACCCTGAGGCAAAAGTTGGTCAGTTTATTTTTCTGCATAGCATAGTTTTTTTTTCGGATTTTTTCTAGGCTACCAGAGTGGCCCGGGAGCACTTGCTCGGCCGGGCCAAAATATATATATATCGTCACATCGTCACAAACAGAACTGCCCGGTAAACCGTAGGCAGAGAGAGAGAAGAGGACAACATTCGAGGGGCTGTGACAAACTGTTTCGTCGGAGTTTCACCGACTCATCAGGTAATATATATCGTCATATACATATATTATATAAATATATATATATTATGTAGAGTTTTCCATCTGGTGTGGGTGAGTGATAGTCTACTTTGATTTTGGTGTAAGGTAGATTATCATTTACAGTGTAATCAGTGAGGGGATTCTGCAGACTGTTGAGGGTTCAGCCTCCTGAT